CGCCAGGTTATTCTCACCTGTTGCATGCATGTTTGAGTGTGAATTTGCAAGACTGATTTCAGGGACAGAAATTCGGACGCAAGCCAGCACAGTTGTCGCCCAACGGTAAAAGCCTCATGGGGACATCCCTACCCTCTTGAAAGAAAATTGTCGCCGTTGTCGTAACTCCGAACAATTGAGGGCGAACCTCCATGAACATTGAATGCCTTCGGCGATCACTCCCGAGTTATTGAAATCAGTGGATGATTTTTCGAGAGCTTCTTTGTGTGATCCTTACTCGATTGTGTACGCCAGTGCTTCCGAGTTTGAATGCGTGATTGGCGTTGCTGCTAACCTGGGGCCACTTTGTCGTCAGGCACACGAATCCTTCAACGGATTTGATAAAATGGTCCGTGAGCGTGGACTGCGGGTGGCTCTCTCCCTGAGACATGTGTCGGAGCAGCGACGCAAACGCTTCTACCGTGTTTTCAGCGCCACGATATGGTAGCAATTGCCAGAGGAGTTGGTCATGCGCATCGTTGCGTTTGGGCCACATTGGGGTATGCATCAACCGGTGAAGTAAAGTCGTGTAAACCAAAAATTAATTAACAAATATGATGCGAGACCTACTCCTTCCCACCCTGCGTGGAGTGGACAAGAGAGCAGAACGATATGTGTACGAAGTAGACTGCGATCTTGCTTTTTCTACCGTTGAGATACCACCCTCATCGAGTCTGTGAGTGTCCAAGTCGGCTTGAGAGTCCTCTTCCTTCTCCCGAGCTGCTCTTATGTGAGCCCTGTTGGCGCCGACGACTCTATAATTATCCTGAACCCCTCCCTCACTCTACTCATTACGTTAGGATCAGAAAGCGGCTGTGTCTGTGCTCACCATGCCTTTTCTCTTTTTCTTTTCTCTTTTCGGTTCTGGTTTTCGTAGGTCGACTTGTTCTATTTTTTTTTGTAGGCCAACCTTCCATTTCCGTTCTTCATTCCACTGTCTTTATACGCTCATACCGAACAATGATGGGTGCAATCTTCTGCCAATTGTTAAAAAAAATAAAAAAAAAGGGCCGACGGCTTTGAGATATCACCATTGAGCTGACTTCCCAAAAAAAAAAATCATTGAGCTGACCGGGCCCAGGGAATTCAGAATTTGTTTTCTTTTTTACTCATCAAGTTTCATCATCTGGATTCGAACTTGGGGGTCTGTATTTCAACAGTTCATGGGTGTACCATCTGAGCTAGGCTCTTGGGTATCTTCTGGCAATTGTAAGTCTGCCAGCATAGAAAACAAAAATTGTGTACTGTGGATGCCTGTTAGGGCGAGTTGTGTGTGCCAGTCAGAGTGTATTTTATTCCTTCATTCGGTATGTGCACGTGTTGGCTGCATATCCCAGTTCATCCCTGTGGCTGTGGTTGAATGAGCACTGCTTTATAAAGGGGAGAAGAAGCGGGCGGCATTGTGAGCCGAGTTACCAATCACTGCTGCGGAAGTCGTTCTGAATCTCACAGCCGCTGACAGTGTCAATCCTTTTCCTTTTTATTACACCTGCAATGACTTGCTGATTCTGCAGCCTGCGGCCCGTTGAACCGAGTCTGTAATGTAGGTAGGTTAGATTCGTAAATTTGGTTTACTAAGGGCTAACCATGATATCCGCCTGCGGGGAAATTTGTGAGGGACGTATCAGCAAATTTGGGAAAATTTCACGCCCGTACTAATTCAGATTTCCTACACCTACCCTAACTGCCGAATAGCAGGCCCAGACTACCTCGAGAACAGACAGGCCTAAGGGCCTACGCTGATAGATGGGTCGTATAGCCTATAGCCGGGTAGGGCTAACAGCCTAAGTGAAAGCAGAAGCTACTAACTAGTATACTTGTCATAGGAAAGCAGAAAGTAATGACAACTAAATCCTAGAATGTTGGAGGCAGTAGCCTCAGTCTAAAAACAATTGACTAGTGTATAAGTTTAAAGAACAACAAAAGCAGAAACAACTAAATCCTAGAAATGTTAGAGGCAGTAGCCTCAGTCTGAGAGCAACAAAGCAACAACAAGACCACCAGATGTCACAGGAGAAGTGTGTCGCAAACTGCAGGGTGGGACGATCTATGAGGGTGACGAATGCAGCCTAGGGGTTGATAAACTTCTAAGGACATCCACACATAATGGAAGGGAGACACATGTCATCAGGCTCAATGAGGGTAAGGAACTGGGAGCAAACAGAACCAATGACCCTAATTGTGGCGCTGGTCTTCTTTTTCATCCTCTAAGAGGCGCTTGGCCTCAGAAGCCTGTTTCAGGGTAGCACTTCCCTCTAAAGGCAGTATCTGGGTGGCACTGGTTGTCTCAGGGGTTCTGGGGTAGTAGATAGCGGTTACTCTGGGTTGAGGAAAAAGCGCTGCTCATTCCTGAGCAGCGCACCATGTTTCTAAGACTATTCTGGCAAAACGATTTTTCGGGTTCAATAAACAGTGTGGATACTGTGTGAGAACTATCTTTGCTTCATTGTTTTTTGGATGTGATCTACTCGGCTTTTCTTTGTGACTGGTTGTGGGAAATCTGTGGAGCAAATTGCACTTTTAGTGTGTTCTGTCGTACTGCATGGTCAAGTCGTCAGTTGTGTTTCTCTCTCTGTGTGGTGTGATACATCGATCCTCTCCCCTTCCTTCTGTGTATGTATGGGCATGCATGGAAGTCTATGTGAGCGAGTGTTGGTCTTCTGACAACAAGCAACCAGGTTCATAACAGTTTAGTATCGGAGCAATTGGATCCAGTCAGTGATGCACTGATGTGTTGGAGCAACTATCATCATCTGCCGAGACACTGGAGTTGAATCTCATGGTGATTTGTCATCTTCGGAGTTGACGATAGTGAGGGTGGTAGTGACAAGCATGTGGCGAGAAGAATTGGACAGAGGGTTACTCACTTATGCTCAGGGACGTATAGAAGTGAGTGGCGATTATTACTCAGAGGCCTGGGAGGCTATGAGAAGGCTATTTTAGTCTGGCGATTCATCTGGAGCTGGCGAATTGCAAGGGAGTGTCCCCAAAGTGTCGCCATTATGGGATTGGGTCAGGATCCCCAATTCCCAAGCAGCGCAGGGCAGGTTGGAACAGCGCTGCACTGAGTTTCTCGATTATTGGCATCTGGGAGACCAGATTAATTGAATCTGTCTGTTGGGGTTGAAGCGCCACAGAAAGATCTACAGGATCAAGTTTCAGAGAATGCTGTACACGGGAACACTGGGAACAGTCCGCCGAAGATACTGGCGAGATGGGTCTGAGGAGACAACTATAGCCAAGTTCCCTCCCGTTCAGTGAAGTCCCTGAATGAAGTGTGTTCCTTACTCTACTCTGTGTGGCGATTCTGGAGCTATTTTTAGATTAGCAAAATTTGGCATGTCAGTCTGTAGACAGTTGAAAATTGAATTTTTGATTGTGCAACCATAGCCAATTTCTCCTACCTACCTCCTCTGACTTCTACTAACCCTGTTTGACTTTTTTCCTAACTCCACTTTCATCTATGACTGCTTTACAGTATTGCGATTCAGTCTGCATAGTGAATTGGATTGTTTAGGGTTATGCTATCAATGATAAGGGAATTCTGAATTTTGCGCTGCCATAGCTGAAGCTTGGTCAGGCTAGGGTCTGTCATGACTTTGGTTCTGTCCGCTAGAATTCAGTCTTGTTTGTCCCTGGTAAATTGCAATTCAGTATTTAGTCTGTGTCTGAAATCGTATTGTCAGATTTGATGTTTTGAGTCAATTACAGTGAGATATGTACTTCGCCATACCCTGCGTATGGCACATAGGGTCATCCAGTGGCCTAGTCAGTAGGGGAAGTCTTAAAATAGATCCTCCTGTAAATTGTTACATCTTGGTCATCTGTGGGTCTCGGTTTATCGTTATCTGTCACTCTGTCTAATCTCTAATTAATACTAAGCTGTCCTTGATTGCATCCTGCGACTTAGAGGCAGAGGACTTGAAGTAATTGCACTCAATTGGGGTGTTAGATCAATGAACGGAAAATCCTGAAATGGTTTTTGTTGAGTTTCCTATAAACTGACGCCTGAGCCTCTAAGCAGTCTGCAGAGACTGAGCGCGTGTTTGCTCATACGAGCCAACTTCTTCTTCCAGTCAGGTGAAAACAATTGGGCTAGTACTGAAGAGAAACCCCAATTCTTGTTGACCTCCCTTTTGTTACTTACCTTATTTTGTCTTGTCTGTTTTGTGGGATTTTAGTATTTTTTACATTGAGAAGGCCGAAACTTTTTTAAGGAGAAGCCTCAAGTCCCTCTCTTCCCTTGGGGTGTAGAACTGCTTGTTGAGGAGACAAAACTCCAAAAGCAAGCAGCAACAATACAAGCGTTGAGAGAGGAGAGGAGGCACAGCGAGGAGGCGGACCAGAAGGTGGCCAGGGGAAAACTTCTCATAGGAGACATAGAGAAGATCAGGGTGAGTTGATCTTCTAGTCAATAAAGTAAGGACATGGTTGAGTTTGTCCTTTTGCAGGATGATATGAACAGGTCCTACTTTACTAACTGGGATGACAGGATCACCATTCTCGAGAACAACCATTCAGAGCTTTCTAAAAAGCTTGAGGACATCTCCTTCAAACTAGATCACGTCTTTGCACATCTGCAGATCCCCACACCCCTGCAGATCCCTACACCTCCTGGAGTCGTAAGGGGAGCCCCCATAAGATCCAACAACCCAGACCTACATCCACAACCTCTGCACCCACGTCAATAGCCGCCTCACAACCTTCAGGTCCAACGGCCCAAGCTAACACCTCCACCCATGTTCTCTGGAGAGGACTCGAAGGTGGATGTTGCAGATGGGTTACTATACAAAAAAACTACCTGAGTGGGTTCAAATGCGACGAGGATGTGAAGGTGAGCGCAATCCTTGCTCGTCTGGAGAGGACTGCACTGAAATGGTGCACCTGCACCTCCAGCAAGTAGGGATTGGAGATGTCTGAGTGGGCGCAAAGACTGGGGGTGACTGAATTTCTGCAGGGACTGAATGATCGGTTTGTAGACAAGGAGCAAGCGAGAAAAGCAGCAGACAAAATTGTCCGCCCAAGCCAAAAGAAATGGGATGGCTACTTGTCCAAACTTAGTCCACCTTCGAGAGTCTGGCATCGATTCCTGGGTTGGAGATGAGCGAGCAAGATCAACTCATTCATTTCCTTAGAGCACCACCTGGATAATACCAGCTTGCATTGTTTTCTAAGGGCCATAAGCACTGGCGGTCCTTTGGCACAACAGCCTTGGAGTCCAAACTCCATGTTCAGGAAGCCCCTTCTGAAGGAAGGAAGAGACCCTCCTCAAAGGGCAGGAGAAAGAGGAAGGGTGCTCAAGTTCAGAAGATGAGGCAGCTTGTCAGAGTGGGAGCCCTCCATCTGAGACTCCTTCGTCTTATGCTGCAGATTCAACTGTTCTTGCCCTAGTTGATGCTCTGATGGGCCTTGCACAAGGAAAGGTCCCGACCCAGAGAGCACCAACCAGCAGCAAAGGGAAAGGAAAGGGACGTGCTTCTTCCCCTGCAGCCCAAAGAGTACCATTGCCACGAGACGTCCCGTGGCCAGTTGACCCCCTTGATGCTTCCACCTTCCCCTAGCATGCACTCAGGATCCAGGAGGGAGTATGGAGGAAGAGTAAAGACAAGGGAGTCTGCCTGGGGTGCGAGGGGGACCATTATCTGAAGGACTGTCCCCACATGCCTCGCAGACCCTCAGGCTCTAGTTCAAAAAACTAGAGAGGAGACAGGAGGAATCCGCAGCTCCGTTCACTTGTGCTGATTCATCTTCTGATGAAGGTGGGTCTTCACCCTCTCTGGCTGACTCTTTTTTTTGAGTTGCAGCATCAGGGTCCTTCACTTATGAGGATACTGATTTGGATGAGGCGTGGGAGGAGGATGAATTGCAGGTCTTTGCTGATCTTTTCTTGTCCTTGCAGGAGAAGAAAAAGCATAGGTTGGATCTCATCCTACTTCGAATCTCCATCCTAGGGGCTAGGTTCAAAGGGCTATTAGGTTGTGGGGCCACTCGCAACTTCATATCTCCCACAACAGTCAGCAAACTGCACTTGGACCAGAATGTGGTTAAGTTGCGGCAGCTGATTGAGGTTCGCATAAGCGACTCATCTACAGTCAGGATCACTACTGCAGTCAAGGGTTTACCTGTAACCTTTGACAGGCAGGGAGAAATCAGGCAGCGCCCGAAGTTCTCTGTGTTTCCTAATTTTTACCGTTTGACCTTGTCTTCTCACTACAGTGTCTTGAGGCCACCAACCCCAGGATCGACTGGCAGATTCTTAGGGTTGAGTTGCCTGATCAGCGAGGGGAATACTGTTGAGTACCTCCCGATCAGCAGTTGTTATTGTATGCATCCCCATGAGGTCTTTCAGCTCTCACGCCAGACTGACCACACTCGTTTGTATGTAGCTTATGTTAAGCAGACTAACGTGGAGGTTGCTCCCTGTCCCTCTAAAATTCAGCAAGTGGTTGACCAGTTCTCAGACCTTATGCAGGAGCCTGCTGGACTTGTCCACAGACAGACCAAGCATAAGATCGAGCTCCTGTCTGGCACGGTCCCTCCCAAGGGTCGGGTCTACAGGATGTCCCCTGCTGAACTTGATGAGCTCAGGAAACAGCTAGAGACCCTGACCAGCAAAGGCTGGATACGTCCCAGTACATCTGAGTTTGGTGCACCTGTTCTCTTTGTTCTCAAAGGGAGTGGTGAATTCAGAATGTGTGTGGACTATAAAGCCTCTTCCTCGGATCGATGATTTGTTGGATATGGTGCAGGGATGCACTATTTTCAGCAAGATCGACCTCAAATTTGGTTATCACCAGATTGAGATGGTTGAAGGTGATGTCAACAAGACAACCTTCAAAACCAGATGGTGCATATGAGTATCTGGTTATGCCATTCGGTCTTTGCAATGCCCCTGACACTTTCCAGACAGAGATGCATCGCATCCTCAGGCCTTATCTGGACAAGTTTGTAGTTGTCTATTGGATGATATCCTAATATTCAATCATACTGTCCAGAAGCATGCGCAACATCCGACTCTTGTCGTCCATGCCTCTTACATGATAACCAGTACAAGATCAACGGGGAGAAATTCTCTTTTGGAATGAACTAGGTGGGTCATGTCGTTTCTGGGGAGGGGCTAGCTCCTGAAGCAACGGAAGTTGTCGTCGTTCAGGACTGACCGCAACCTGTAACAGTTTATGATGTTTGGTCGTTCATGGTTTTTGCTTCCCACTACCGAAAGTTCGTCAATAACTTCTCATCTATTGCATCACCCCTGACTGACCCCACTAAGAAAGACACTCCCTTTCTTTGACATCAGACTGTCAGGAGGCATTTACACGTCTCAAGGAGACCTTAATTCGTGCACCTGTACTGAAGTATCCTAACCCTACTTCATCTTTTGTGCTAACCACTAATGCTTGTCACTATGGTGTAGGAGCGGTACTTCAGCAAGAAGATCAAAGCTAAGAAGTTGCAGGACTAAACTTGTGAGGAGTTGTATGCCCTTGTGTCAGCGCTCAAGCATCGGAAACACTTTCTCATGGGAAGGTACTTCAAGATCTTTTCTGCTCACTCCACACCGCGTGGATGAAGTCCTTGGGAGAGTTGAATAACAAGTTTGCCGGCGACTTTCAACTCGTTGACATGTTTGACTTTGAACTGAAACACAAGAAGGGTTACTACAATTGAGTAGCAGATGCCCTTTCTCGTAGGCCTGACGCTCTCTTCCTGATCTCCTTCACTCATTCCTTTGGGGAGAAGACCCGTCACACGTTGCCCATTTGCTGCCCTAGAACCCGATTTTTGGACCTATTGTGAGGATTTTGTTGGTCGATTCTGCCTCTGAACCAGGATATACTATGGTTTCAGATCTGCTGTACACTTGCAGCAGAGGCGAGGAACGTCTGTGTATTCCCCAAGATCACAAGTTGAGAACACTCTTTATGTCAGAGTGTCACGATGCTCGTGGTCATTTTGGGGCCCTTAAATCCTATGCGGCCTTGTCGCAGAGGTTCTTCTAGAAATAGATGAGTGATCTGCTGCATTATGTTGAATCCTGTGAGTTGTGACAAAGGAATAAGGTCGTATGTAGACCTACCCTTGGTCTACTCAAACCACTTCCCATCTCTGAGGCACCGGCGCAGTTAGTGTCTATTGACTTTACTGATTTGGGTAGGACCACTCCTTGTGGTATGCGTCAGTTTATGGTTTGTGTCGACAAGTTCTCCAAATACGCAGAATTCATCCCTTTGCCAGGAGAAGCTAGAGTTTTTGTCATGCAGGCAGCATTTGTTAACAGGTGGGTCACACACCATGGACCACCAACCTCGATTATCAGTGACCAAGATCCCCATTTCTATAGCAATGAATGGCAGTCCTATTGCCAAGACTACCTTTATTTACGCCTGAATATGACATTTGGCGGTCATCCTGAAGCCAGTGGACAGGCTGAAGTGATGAACCAGATCTTATTTCAGCTGCTGCGTCTTGTGATCAGTCCCAATTAACAGGATTGGGATTTGCATTTGGGTCGTACGCAGCTCGTGTATAATACGTTTGTCCACTCCTTCATTGGTTTCACACCCTACCGGTTACACTGGGGTCGTGAACCACGGCAGCCTCTCGATGATATCATCGAGAAGGCTACCCCTGCACTGACACCTGGGACTGTAGAGTTCACCAGACGCTATCAAATAGACATTGAGCGCACCCGTGCCAACCTGCTAAAAGCTCAAAAGACTATGATTCAATAGGCTAACAGGCACTGTTGTCCCTCTATCATTCGCACTGGTGACTGGGTTTGGATGCTCAGTTCTGAGTTGTCACGCGAGGATGACATGTCACTGAAGTTGTTGCCACGATACATGGCCCCATGGCATGTTCTAGATATAGTAGGGGCTGACCCATTTGGACCATCATATGTTGTTGATGTCCCTCTGCATCTACAAACCTATCCGGTCTTCCATGCATCTAAGTTGTTACCTTTTACATCAGTTGACAGTGATGCATTTTTGGACAGGCCTCCTCAATGCGGTCCATTGATCTCTGGCAAGGGATATGAAGTGGAGTGGATTGAGGATGAGATGGGCACAGGTCCACACATGCAGTATCTTATGAAGTTCTTGTACCAGGGTCACATTGAGGATCGTTGGTTCACACGGCAGGAACTCCTCAAGACAGCAAAGTCAGTTGTCCTCAGATACGAGACAGCCAAGAAGGGTCAATCTCTTCGGCGCTCTGCTTGTCTACACCCCTAGCTCGGAGGTCCTCGCTCCGGGGGAGGGTAGGCCTGCAATGACTTGCTGATTCTACAACTTGCGGCCCGTCAAACCGAGGCTGTAACATAGATGGGTTAGATTTGTAAATTTGTTTTACTGAGGACTAACCGTGATATCCGCCTGTGGGGAAATTCGTGAGGGACATATCTGCAAATTTGGGAAAATTTCAGGCCAGTACTAATTTGGATTTCCTACAGCTACCCTAACTGCGAATGGCAGGACCGGACTACCTCGAGGACAGACAGGCCTAAGGGCCTACGCTGATAGACAGGTCCTATAGCCTATAGCCGGTTAGGGAGAGGCCGAAGAGGCCAAAACTGAAACGGTACTGGTCGGTCCAGTAGGGCCTAGGGTAGGTTTAGAGTAGATCTATTAATAGAACAAGTGGGCCCGCCGCGGCGATGAGAGGCATGGTGGTGCAAGCGCACGTGATTGGAAAAAAAAAATATTTATGTTTGATTGTGAAAAAAGGCACTCCTCCTCCTCCCCCTCCCGCTCCTCCTCCGCCAAACAACGTGATAAAGATCCCGCCATAGCCCCGCTCCCGCTCGTTCTCCTGCTKCTCCTCCCTCTCCTCCTCCTCCTTCTCCCGCTCTCGCCCCTGCTGCTTCTCCTCCCACTGCTTCCCCTGTTCTTTCCCTCGTTCCTCCTGCCGCTCCTCCCGCTCGTCCTCGTGCTCCTCCCGCTTCTCCTCCTCCACCTATATCTCTTCCCCCTCCTCCGGCTCCTGCGTGTTCGTTAACCCCCTCCCCATTTCCCCTCCCGCTCCCCCTCCCGCTCCTTCTGCCGCCCCTCCTCCCGCTCCTCCTCCGCCCCTTTCCGTGGCTCCTCCGCCCCTTCGCATTTCTTGCTCCTTCTCCCGCACCTGCTCCCGCTCCTCCTCCCACTCCACCTTTTCCCGCTACTTTTCCCATCCCTCCTCCGGCTCCTCCCGCTCCTCCTCCCACTCGTCCTCCGGCAAACAACATGACAACGATCCCGCCATAGCCATCTGCTTTGAAAAAAACGAAAGAAAAACGGCCCGCCACGTGGCTACCAGAGAGAGGGAGAGAGAGCGAGAGAGAGAGTTTTCCATCAATAGAATGAGCAACGCACCGGCCAACATCAATTTCGCTCATCTATCGATGCAATCGATGCAAGTAGCGTGAGGCGAGCCTAGGGGTTGGACACTTACCTGTTCGGCGATGTGTATCTCA